GCGAGCGCGTGGCGCGTGCCCAAAAAGTGCAAATTCGCGTCATAGACTTTACATGTATAAATCGGCTGGCAAAAACGGGCGAAAATGGCTAAATTTGCCCGACACGGGTCCGTTCCCCGTGCAATATCTCGGTAGCCGTGCGCCCGATCGGCACGGGGAAAACAGCATCGTGTAGAGAATCGAACGGGCAATCGAATAGTGTGCGGTGCAGGGGTGGCACGCGCCACGTGCAAGTGTGAGGGCAATTTCATTTCAAAAAGTGCCATTTCAAACGGATTTTGGATTTTATTTTATTTTCCCGTGACCATCAGACTGAGAGAGTTGAAACAACGTCAATTGCCAAGAGAAATGTACCGCCTCTCATGGAAAAATTGTGGACAGCTAATTGATCAAAAACAATGTGGAAAAATCGCTGAATTAAAATGGTATTTGTCCATAATGTGCCACTAAAAAGATACACGGGATTTGCTGCTTAACCTGATACGCTTGATAATTGAAAATGCTATCATTAGAAAGAGCATTCAATTCTCTCCAAGATCCAATCATCACGTTTGCATGACAAGCAACAGTATTCTTAAAAATATAAATCTTAATCTATATTACTATTTGTGGTGACGTAGTTTCTGTCTATTACGAAGGTCGCGACATGGTGCTACGTAGCGCGGGTTACAGGTCACACCGTTGCACCTACCGCGCTGAAGTTTGCGCAACTCATAGAACAAGGATGGACAACGTGCCTTTGATGGGTCTCAGCTCGATCGGATCGATAGCGAGCGCGTGGCGCGTGCCCAAAAAGTGCAAATTCGCGTCATAGACTTTACATGTATTAATCGGCTGGCAAAAACGGGCGAAAACAGCCAAATTTGCCCGACACGGGTCCGGTCCCGGTGCAATATCTCGGTAACCGTGGGCCCGACCGGTACGGGGAAAACAGCATCGTGTAGAGAATCGAACGGGCTATCGAATGGTGTGCGGTGCAGGGGCTGGCACGCGCCACGTGCACCGGGGAGGACACTTTCTTTTGAAAAATGGACGTTTTGGAGGATTTTGGAATTTATATTAATTTCAGGTGATCGTCAGACGGAATGAGTTGAAACAGCGCCCATTAGCAATAAAAATGTACCGTCTCTCAAGGAAAAATTGTGAAAATCTAATTGATAAAAAACAATGTGGAAAAAATCGCTGAATTAAATGGTATTTGTCCAAAATGTGCCACTAAATAATTACACGGATTTTGCTGCTTAACCTGATACGTTTGACAATTGAAAATGCTATCATTGGAAAGAGCATTCAATTCGCTCCAAGATCCAATCATCACGTTTGCATGACAAGCAACAGTATTCTTATATATATTCCCGACCGGGGCTGGGAAAATGCGTTTTATTCACCGAGGTTTTTGTGCGGAGGACCGAGTGCCGGCAGGCACGAGGTCCGTAGCCTAAATTTGTCATTTACAAATTTAGTTGCGCCTCATGCCAGGCGTCATACGTTGGTTCCACGTATCAACGTTTATTCACCAGAGTGGCTCAACACCAAGGCAGATCTCCTCGTACCGGACTGATGTCATCAACCCCAGCAGTCTCGTCCATTAGAGATCATGCGTTATCATGTGATGCTCCGTTTACGATTGATAATTTTGAAATTCTTGGTACGAACAGCTCGTTCCCTGATTTAAGAATTTTAGAATCACTATACATCTTTCGGTTGCGACCAAAAATAAACGACATTTCATCGGCATATCCTCTCAATGTCACCGCTTAGCTCTATGATGTGTGTACCCAATGGTGTGCAACTGCTCTCATGTGCACTGTGCATTTGTATCACCGTCGTGCGTCATCATTAAGTAGAACAATTCTCCACCTGGAAGAAGTGTACTTACTGAGTTTTGCATGTGTGCATATGTGTGTGCAAATAATTTCGATATCGTGTCAGGGTAATCATCCCATCAAAACATGTAACTTACATATCTGTTTATATTGTCACTGAAGATGTTCTCACTGTGGAACGAAACCGGTCTGACTTGAATAATGATCACAACCTCATGAACGCGGTTTTATGTCTTTTACTAAAGTTTATTTCACAGCCCAAGGTTGGGAAGAGATTTACCACATGCCGTACCGGCGCAACAGTTAATATCATATTCATTTGGTATTATATATTATGTTCTTAATATGGTGTTAATATTCTAATAATACTATGTTCATATTTATGGTCACCGCAATTATTTTTTGTGTTTTTCATTATTTGGCGGCGCTGGCCGTTGAGTTTGAAAGATGAAACTCCCTACTTTTCCCTTATTTAGGGTTTGAAAAAGCTGAGGATGAAGATGGTGAAGCGCCAGAAGTAAGAATAAACTATAAAGATATGGAGTCCTGCAGGAGTGAGGAAACCGTGAGGAAAACTGAAAATTGGGTGAAACGCTGTATCAAACGCGTCTTAGATCCCAGCTGGAACAATATCCAAAGGTTTCATTGTGGCTCGTTAAGATGCTTCGCGCATTTAAAGTGTTCGTTTTTTGCGTGCATTATGTTGTAATAATGAGTACTAGGTACTCTGACGATGTTCTGCAGCAATAAATACACTGGCATTGGAACGATACCTACTCTTGTTTAGTTGCATTACGTTGACAGCAAAAGTAAGCGAAAACGCCGTCACTTAATTTTGCTCACTTCTGCTGTTGCTGTTAGTGAACACACAATCCGTAAATATCTTCTTTGGAATTGGTTCTTCCGCTCAGAATATTCAGAGCCCTGTTCGGGTCCGCGCAAAATATTTTGCTGAGTGTGAAGTCACACATGCGATGATGTCAGCCGCCTGGCTCCGCCCATGCTCCGCCTCCTCTCCGCCGGCCCGCAAAGCCGAGGGCCACGCGACACGCGGCGAACCGTGGCACGGATGGACTGGTGTGTTTCGTTCAATTACTGAGTAAAATGCGTTCAAATGTGGTTAATAGCAATGTGCCACTGAAAAGAATGATAATGATACCAAAATAACACCATACTAACCACTTACAATAACAAATATATGAGGGTAAACTTTAATCCGCGCCACTTTCGCCTCCTGCAGCTACTATTTTCTTCTTGCGCAAATCTGAAAGATTTTGCGCGAGCCTACGTCACACGTGTGACGTCATACGCCGAAGGGCGGAGCTTGGCACCTGAGAGACCCCAACTGCGCATGCGTGGTGCAAAATTTTGCAATAGGATGCGCTGCCCGAACAGCACTCTGGGCCCTGTTCATGAACCACGGCGGTCGCTGCGGCCGCTGCGGTCGCTGCGGCCAGCCGGGTTGTTACGTCACAAAAAGGGGCGGGGCTCATGTAGTATGACGAATGTATGACGTCATCTTGCTGCGGCCGCTGCGATCTCTGCGGCCGCAATCCAGCGACCGCCGAGCCTCAAGAAAACTAATTGCACTGAACTTGACGCACTGAAGTCAAATAGGCACAAACCGTGTTGTCATGGAGACGATTTTGTAAACAAATTATCTACCGGTGTGCTTCAGTTGTAAACAATTGTCGGAAACTATTTCGGCAGCAGACGCTGTTCATGGAACGCTACTGCGGCCGAGTGAGTGATGACGTTTCAAAAATGGGCGGAGCTTAGAGCCTGCGGCCGGCCGCAGCGGCCGCAGACTTCATGAACAGGGCCCAGTAAAACTTTGTCTGGGAAAATCAAAAAGCCCTAGGGCCGAATCGTTTCCCAAATACCTTCAACATTAGCCGAGGCGGGCCGAAGCCATTTCCCAAATGCACGTGCTAATGTTAAAGGGATATCTCGGCATGTGGTAAAAATTATAAATGTTTCAAATCTCTGCAAAATGATTTTTAATGAAAATTATCTACGCCTTTAATTTGTCGTAAAACTACGCGCCTAAATTATAAAGCACATTTGACAGATTCTGAAGTGGAAAGCATGCTTATCAGACACGGGCACCTCGATGCGGTGGATATTTTTTCCACAAACCAAAACGTTTAGCCGTCAAAAAGCAATCGACCGAAATGGATAGATAACCCAACCGACACAAGAACAACCGAACACCCGCCGATCGAAAATACCCCTTTTCGCGTTGCGGAGCACGCGGGTCACCCTAGTTCTTATTCCATCCTTCAATCGATAAAACGCGCTTGACGGCAAAACAGACTTCGTAATTAAGCTATTTTACTCAGAGATCCATTTTTATTTTAAAAATGGACATGGAATACACAACTTCAAGACGAGAGGCGGGCAGTATGCAAACTGCCCAAGCTTTTGGGCGGTATGCATACTGCCCAAGGGGTCGGGTAGTATGCATACTACCCGGGCGGTATGCATACTGCCCGGGCTGTTGGGTAGTTTGCATACTGCCCGGGCAGTTTGCATACTGCCCAAGTTAGCATATGACCCGTAACATATATATATAGTGGTCTATGCCTCAGGGTATCTAAGGCATATATCAAGGAGTGGGTGAACCAAAAATGATCCTGATCGGACTTGTCAGCCGGCGGTCAGAGCCTAAATTGTGAACAAGCAAAAATGCCGATAATTTTTACTTTGACCTGACCTGTGGCGTCGTCGGTGACCTCGATGTCAATGAAAATAGGTTTCGCTCGACAATATTCCCAGGGCTATCAGACGCCGTTTGAATTTTGACGATCGGCCCAGTAGTTTCGGAGATAGGAGGAGGGTTCTGGAGGCCCCCCCCCCAGTCACTCGCGTTATGGAAAATATCCCAGTTATGCGCGGGTTAAGCGCAGCGTTGTCACTGCAGGCGCCTGAAATGCTTTTTGTTCAAATTGTCCACAGCGTTCGATGTTTATGGCAACATGTGCAGTGACGTGCACTAAATATACAGCATACACGGTATGATAACTGACTAACTAATTAATAATCAATTAACACGTTTCAATTTATTTTTCAAGCTTTCTGTGAAGAACAGATAAAAGAACGGCAAAAGTACTGTATGTACAAAGCCCACCACCACCTGTCTGCACCCGCCTTGTGACTCACCGATCAGCCCCGTCAACGATTGTTTGTGTTCGTGTTAGTATTTGTGTTGTCACCACCGGTGTTGGTGTTCATAGAGTTGTCGGTGACAGTGGTGGTGGTGGTGTCACTGCTGGTCTGTGTCGCTGTGTTGGTGTTGGTTGGTGAGTTGGTGAGAGTGATGGTGACCGTGTTGGTCATAGTGTCCGAGTCGTTGTTGGTTGTGGAGACCGAGTCCGTGTCGGATACGGTGACCGCGCCAGTGCCAGAGGTGCTGCCTCCATTGTTTATACTGCCACTGGAACAGACAGAGAAGTCTGTCAGAAAACAATGTTGGTGGTTTCATGATGGCTTTGTTTCAATATCCAATTTGGAAATTTAGAGAAGGCTTCGTATATAGTTCAACAATACTTGTTGTATTTTAATATATGATGGCAGTGTTTTCATGAAAAAATATATAAATGTAAAGAAATGATAAATAACGTGGCAGAAACGTAACATATTATATTATTAAAATGATCGTAAGTTGAAATAAGCTTCCGTTTTACTGCCATCTGAAGAGGCTGGAAAATGGAAACTCATTCCAAGTTTTGTACCATTTTATCATAAAAGGTTTACAATTACATTTCTTCCAAGTTATCGATCATCTCTGATCATCTGTACTTATGTTGATGTGCACTGTAAGAAAACCTTTGATAAGGAAAGATGAAAATGTGTTTAAATGTCAGATAAAATAGAAAAAATTACAAACTAATCAAAAGGCGCAAAATTAAGTGTTACATAATCTGTTCTATCTGGATTTAAGTACGTCCAACGATGTGCAGAAACATGCAAGATACGATTTATATGTAAATTATGTTTTGGCATGCATGCTATTGTTTGTATTTACGGCTGCATTAGCATTTGTTTGTATTTACAGTATTTACACTCTTGTAAGTTCATGCTTCGAATGTAGCTAAACTTGAAGGTGTGGCCTGGTTTCCAACCAGCTTTTAAAGTTTAATTTACCTACCAGTGCACAAACATAAAATAAGCTAATTTTGGTGGCAACAAAAAAATGCCACAAATCAGTAACGCACACATCACAGCAAACAGCAGGCGACACAGATTACCAATGCTTCCTACTACCGTGCAAATATAAATGTTGATCATGGGATCTTGACCAGTTCCCTTCAAGCCCGAGCTTACCTGGATAGACCGAGCAGGTAGACGAGTCCCAGCGCTGGTATCCAGAAGCTGGTGCTGAGGAACTGTCCCAGCGCACTGCTGACGTTCGTATTTCTAAACTTCCTTCGCGATGGTGCATTGCACGCACATGATAGTCTTTTATCAAGCACAGGGCCGCGCTCTGGAAGAGATAAGAGTTGTTGCTTTTGTTGTTGCTGCGCTCGGTGCTTTTGCTTCTTCTGCTGGTGTTGATGACGAACATGTTCCCTCTGTTGCTCTTTCTGGTAGTCCTGCTGATGCTGTCCTTGATGTTGCTCGTATCGCTGGTGCCGCGGAGGGTCTGGCGGTACCTGATTGCCTTCAGACCACTGAGCTCGGCGAGAGGCCATCCATCGGCGCAGGCCGTGGAGCCTCCTGGACATCATCCTGGGAAGCCAGGTCATCGCATTCGACACTCTCGACCACAGCCTTCGCATTCTGATGGCCACAGTGTTGGCGTTCCAACTGGCCGCTCCCTGTCGCCTGTTGATGACAGGGCGACTAGCTCGTCTTGTCAGGTACCCTTCAGAAGAAGTCGACGAACCTTCCCCGGGATCGAATTCTCCATGTAAGAAGTTGCGAGATATTGAACTATTGGTCACCGACTTCTCAAGTAAATTTCTAGTCGTGGTCCTTCGAGTTGCTATGCCCGAGCCCATGCCGTCAGAGATACTGCTGTTGCCGGCACCACGATATAATGCTGTGGTTGTCCTGAGCCGGGGATACCTCCAGGCGGTATAGGTCTGCTCAGTCACATTAGACCTACTCTTTTCACTGAAATGCCTCGTGATATCAGCACCCGTCTGGTTCTCACCACTGGATGACTGCACCGACCTTTCCACTCTGCTGGCCACAGCGTTTGTAGCCGGCAAATTGTCCATATCCCTGACAGTTCTGCTGGAACCCTCGCCGGCGTCGGAAACCCGCAAGGTAACATTGTCACTCGGTGAGGTGATTTCTCTCATCTCCGTTTCCTTGTTGGTGACTGTGCTCGTCATCGTTTCATTTGTCGAGCTATGCGTCGTTCTGCTTAGCGAATGAGTCTCGCCTTCAACCAGTTGAATGAACGTATCAGTCAGACCTGAAAAGTACATAACACCGACGTTACTTTCTGATTACTTTCGACGTGGTTGCATTATTGCGATGCCATTTTCTGCATTCCTAGAACCAGCCTGTATATCTAGGTTTGTAGTTTACGGCAAGCAATATTGTATTGTCGGTAGACATTGACGTGCTCTGTGGGTGTAAAATCTACCGCGAAAGCGAGTGCCATTTCACACTTCTTCGATAAAACGCTGTTCGGCGACACGAGCAATGAATGGCACGAGTCGCAAGCAGAGTCTTTAAACCTGAGCTTTTTATGGAAAGACTATATGCCGTGACGAACGGGTGAAAAATCAGGTCCATATGACATGCGCTCCATTCCGGCTCGTTTAACGCCAGGCTTTCCTGCAGTTGCGGGGCGTGAGCCGGTCTACCATCGTGCGATGTAGGCAACTGCGATTACCTCGACTACCAAGAATCGGTACGGTACTATATAGATAGGTGTTGAAATGTGAGTTTTTAGCACTTTCTGATTCTGATAATATCATGACTTGGAAAAAATAGTGACTGAATGCACGATGATATGTGGGCGCACATAAACTCAGGAAGAAGCTAGGTAAAGTGTACACGTGTGACGTGAGTACCTACTCCTGTAACTGATGTAAAATTGAAAAGCGTCTATCCATCGTAAAACAGCACAATCAATCACAAACAACACATGCATACACCTATGTGAATATTAAACATTATTGTTGGAATATTGGATACCTATGAAGATGGATAACTTTTTTTTTTATAAATATATAATGTCGACTTGGGCACACCCTGGCATCAACAACAGATATAGAACGTGGCGAATTTGCCTGATGTCAGCCGCGTGTGTCATGGCCCATGAATGATGATAATGTGCGATTATGAGGAAATCACACCGGCAAAAAATTATGGGGTATTAAATCATGCAGCATGGCAAAAGTGGGCTGGGACGTAATGAAACAAATGACTAAAGTGCTACAACAATAAGGCAAAATAACAATCTCGGCAAATTATTACCTGATACTAAGTACCGTTCTCATGATTTTCACGCGTCCGGCTGATTGCTAAATGTTAGATACAAGCTATCGCCCACGCCCAAAAGTTACCACTCACTGCCCGTGTCTTCACGTGAATCCCTCACCTGTGACCAGACGCTGGTACACGTCCTCCAGTTGACCGCACGAGCCTAGACCAATGACGCCGGCCAGGAGGCCACACGCTGGCTCTGAGCGCGTGGCGAAGAACCTGCCTCCCACGGCGGCCGGCCCCACCCAGGCGGCGCCGACCGCCAGGATGGCCCACAGCAAGATGGTGACGGTCGCCTGAAGCGGGAACGGGTGGTGGTTAATGTCATAGAGGAGACGCTTTTTTAGTATCCAAGTTGATGCAGATGGACAGACTGTCGAACAGTACTTCCGTTATGAATCAATACAGACACAGAAGTAGACAAGTACAGGTTCAGTACTGTTCAGGCAACGTATATGTACATACAGTGACCTATAAATTACACGCGGGTGATATGATCAACCAAACGATAAACACTGAAAGATGGTATGCCAGTGTAGGCTGTAACATTAACATGAGTGGTGTTCCATACGTGTCAATGGCGACACGACAGCTGTTGCGCAATGTCGAGTTGCGTCAGCAGTTTTCATTGAGCAGGAACGTCTAGACTAGAACAGACATGACTGGTGGTGCGCTGTTCTCGTTCTCAGAAGCGTGCATGTCCTAACTTTGGACGAGACTAACCTTGAAGCCTCCCTCCACCACGCCTGGAGGTTCGGAGTCGAGTGCATCTGCCCTGGAGCACGCCTCCTGGCATTGGTCGAGGCGCACTGGGCCGGGGATTACTTCACCGCTGTATGGAACCGAGCCCCTAAAATCAACAAACACATCGGTCACATAATCACCAGGCCCGTGCTTCGGAGTACGACACGGGACTAACTGCACGTTGTGTAAGATCTGAAGATAACTGGTTCGTTCCGGCTGCAGATCTGTACTGGTTTTGGAAATCGTTAGGCGCGGAAGTCCAGATTTTACCGGTTCTGCCCCTGCAGATGTCCAGATTCACTTCGTATCGCAAAGGGCAAAGTAACAGAATGTCGACTTCTGGACTGACTAATCACGGGACTCAAAGTCAACGACGCACTAAAAGGAAAGGAGAACAAAAGTTCATTGATATTTTCGCTTTATCAGTTACATTGATTTATTTTTCCTTTCAGAAAAAGACGGATTTATTAATCCATCACTAATAGAAATCCACAGCAGAACACTTTCCAAATGGTCTTTTTATAGTGCAAAAGAAAGAGCAAGACGTAAAAATCAGATGTCATTTTCGAAACAGAGCAAGCTTTTTCGGGAATAGTGAAATGTTGACAACGATCGTTGATCAATTCATATGACCTCAGCTGACCTCTGTAAGGTGACCATTGGCCATTAGTTGCAACCAGGCCATGATATATTGCTATGGATTTCATCATCGGTCTAGTTAACCAGAACTATACGCCACATCACACTCACCTGATCAGATGGTACTGTGTGAGTGCCCGGATGACATCAGTTAGCCCTTCTTTGGTCTGATCAGCCAGCAACGCCGAGACGCTGGCTGAGTCCGCGCCGAGAAGCTGCTCGAGGTCTCCGGGGGCACCCACCGATCCCGGCTGGTTCCAGTTGATGAGATGCGGAGGGACGTTCGACGTGGTCATTAGGCCTTCAGTGGTCGGCTCTCGGCGATTGTAGTTTACCATGGAACTTAGATTCCGTCTGAGCTGAGATATGAGCCACGGATTGAGTTGAACGCTGAGGTCGGGACCGTCAGGTGATGCGATATGTGATGTGCTCTGTGAACGGACTGCGTTTGGTTGATTGTTCTTCGTACCAAGTTGAGGTCGTGGTCCATGATGGTAACTCACAGCAGAACCATGTTCTCTGGTGACTGCTGGTGTTCTTGGCGCCTCAGCGACTAGCACTCGTCGGATATCACTCGAGCTGGCACGCTGGTCTGAGTGCGATACCTGGTGTACAACACTCAGCTGAGTCGTAGTTGGATCACGAGAGGCCGGCTCTCTTTCCTCGTCTTTCTGTCTTGGCTTAGTCGTTTTGTCAACAGAGAGGAAAGGTGATTCCTTGATGTATTTGGGAGCATGCGGCCTCACTCCTGCCGTGCCTCGAAACGCCACATGAGGGTTTCCTGGCGCAGGATGACGGGGCATCCAGCCCCTTCGTGTCAAGTGCCTGTCCTTCATCGATTTTCTTTGAGGCGTTCTTGTAGACGTCGCCGAGGACGATTGTCCCAGTGATGGTGGCTGCATCTTAGTCTCTGGCTTCACTGGGAGATGTAACGCTCCCCTGGGCCTCCCAGTTTTCCTCTGTGAAAATGGTCGACCTGTCCTGCGGTGGACATGATTAAATTGTATTTTAGGCTGTCCCCCTCTTCTCCTTCCGCCGCCCTGGTCCGCCGACACCACTGGCATGGGCCTTCGGCTCACCACCACTGGCAGCAGGCCGACTGAGAGAAGTGACATGACCGAGGGTGGTCCCTGCTCCGGTGCCGGCTGTGACGTCACCGGTGACGTCAGTCGACCAGTGACGTTCGTCGGGAGCGACCTCACCGAGCTGAACATCATCAGAGGCAGCATCAGCGGCAGCAACGTCAGGAGAGTCAGTGGCAGCCACAGGGAGCGACACAGCCTCGAGAGAGGCTGCAATGATGGCGGAGACGGGCCGAAAAGACAGTGCGATGGTCCCATCGCTGCTGAGGGACTCATCGTTTCTGGGTGGAAACTAAGCTGCGTAGCTGGAAGAGCCAGTCTTTCGAGGCAATGAGCCTCCGTAGAAAGCGTTAGATGACGCGTTCTGCCGCATCACTGAAAGGAAAAGGAAAATCCCGTTAATGACAAACCTCGCATACTACTGATAACATTTAAGTTGACATATCTTTTCTTAGAACTCTGCACCTAGTTTCACCAGTTGACTACCAGAGCATCACAGACCACACATATAATTTCTTATTTATTTGGCACTTCAAGACAAGCCAAACAGAGAGCAAAGAGCGAAAGATTTAGCTACGAACTAGAGGATGACAATGGGGTGATGCACTGCATAGATGGTACAAGCGTATACCCACTCGCACACAAACTGGAAAGTCTATTAGATGGTTCGTTTAGCCCCTGGACTAATATCAGCTGCGACAATTGCAGACACGTGTTGAGAGACGCGCGACGATACGATTTCTCTCCAGCTTATTGAGCAAACAATGCAAGACAAATTGCTGTGGAAAACTGTGGTCAGGGTCTGCTGGCGCATTTGGGTGGATGCATAAATCACTTATTTTGCAGTTTCTGTTGCAGACTCGTTATTTATTCGCATTAGCGTGCAACCACCATGACTACACAAAGGTCTTTGATGCGTGATGAATCATTCGCTCGCTGTTGCGCAAAGATAAGGGCCTCAGAAGTAGGTTTTAAGTCTAGTTCAATGACAATTTTTACCTTCTTTTTAATATCTTACCGGCGCCATTTCGCCCTAATTTAGCTAAAGTTTAGCAGAAAAAAGCGACAGAATGTACGGCTCGATATTAGACAATTCATTTCACCAAAGCATTATCTGAGCAGTGGTTTCAGTATTGTTGCATTGTTGCATGCTGTCGCGTTAAATACCGTCCCGTTTGTTAGGAAAATTGCATTCTAACTTGGAATTTGGCCCCATTTCAAGCCAGTCACGTTCAATGTTATCAGGTCATCAAGCTGGTCGAGAGAGTCTATGCGCTTATAATTCGATTCGACATCTCATTCTAAACATTTTAGCATCCTTCCTTACGTGTTTACCCACTTTGATCAAAGACACATATTGTCAAAAGAGAAACTCGGCACAGGGTTGATGTAACCTCCCCCTAAGGTTTTTCGCGAATAACTCGCGTAAAAAGCGGTCGATCGCGACAAAACTTTCAGTACCCACCCTTTGATAAATTTTACATCTACCCAAAAAACTCATGACCCTGAATCAAATGACCTTTGACCTGTGATCTCTTTTCCGAGACTGCATGTTTGCCCGTAATCGCGATTCGGAGTGTGTCGGCTCGCATTAGCCGCGCGTTTGCAAGCTTTCCGTGATTTCAAACGTTAAAACATGTGGTTTGATGCTGCTCCCATGCATTAGGGTGGCTGTCAAGGTCACCTGAAGGTCAGGTCAGGTCACTGACCTTTGGTGACCTCGGTTCACTTTTTCGAGTTTTACATGTTTCTAGGCTAGTTTTTGGAGCTGAATTCGAATTTAGCCCCATTTGGACATATACGAAGTAGTTTTGGTGCCTTCGTAACATGTTACGAAGCTGTCAGAGGTGGTTGACGCGTACTACGAATACCCGTCACGGTCCCTACTGGTTAAACTGACCTGACCTGACCCGACCTGGTCTAAATGCTTAAAGACATCATCTGCGATCAAATCTAACACGATATTGGTGATCAGCACCCCGAAAAACCCCATGGAAGCTACTCGTATGATTTTTTTAATTTTTCATAATAAAATTCAAAATTTATATTTTTATATTGTTTTCAAAAACTTTTCGGCTTTTCGAAAAAAAAAACGAAATATATGTGATAGAACACATGCTTATGACTTACTCTCGCACGTTTTAGCTAAATATCTTGAAAAATGGCCAAGTTATACGCATTATTGCAAAACATTCACAATTATAAATTTTTCATTTTTTCAGTACGTATTTAACATCGTACACCAATATAAATAACAACATCGTGTGTCTGAGATCAAACTGCATTCCATAGACAGTTTTTTGTTGAAAAAGTTTAACTTCAAAATTTCACCTTTTTGACCTGAAAGTGACCTGACCTAAGCTAAATTCAACTCAAAATGTCCTCGAATGACACAAACGACATCAAATTCAAATTTATGGCCTAAATGAACCATAAAACATGTGTCACGTGACAGACGCATGATATAATATTTCCGTAACCTGTGAGGACCTGACCCTGACCTGAAAAACAAAGTACAAGTTTGGTACCCTCAGGGTATCTAAGGCATCTGTTCACGAGTGTGTAAACCAAAAATGAGCCTGATCTGACTTGTAAGACGGCGGCCAGAGCCCAAAATGTGAACAAGTAAAAATGCTAATTTTTACTTTGACTTGACCTGTGACGTCATCGGTGACCTCGAGGTCAATGAAATTAGGTTTCGCTCGACAGTTTTCCGGGGCTATCAGACGCCGTTTGAATTTTGACGATCAACCCAGTAGTTTCGGAGTTAGGAAGGGGCTATGAAGAGCACCCCCCCCCCCCCCCCCCCAGTAGGGCGCGCTATACGCAGACCCCAGTGGGGCGCGGGGTATGATGCATGCATTCGGGTGGGTATCAAGGTCACCTGTAGGTCAGGTCAGGTCATTGACCCTTGATGACCTCTGTTCACTTTTTCGAGTTTTGCATAGGAAAGTTTTTGGCAGTGTTCGCCACGGGCCGCAAAATCCCAGTCCAGCCCAGCCCAGGCCCATGGGCTCGCAGCCCGGCCCAGCCCGAACCCATTCATGGTAAAAGTGTCAGAGTCCAGCCCGGCCAAGTCCGTTAAAAATGAAAGGATAAAAAATTATGGACACCACACAGGTCAGCCCAGGCCCATGGGCTCGCAGCCCGGCCCAGCCCATCCGAAGTTTGCAAAGAAACAATCTTTTGCAAACAGCATGCCCAATGCACATTACATACGTGCTTTATTAACTCGTTTTTGAGTTTCACGCAGTAATAAGCTAGTTACGTTTTTTTTTCGTCTCAGTCACGAACCCCAAAATACTTGGCAAGACCCCTACTGGTTAACCTGACCTGACCCGACCTGACCCGACATGGCCTAAATTCATGAAGACATCATCTGTGGTTAAAACTTACATGGTATTCGTGATCAGCACCCCCCCCCCCAAAAAAAAACGTCAGCAGCCACACTTTTTGACGTTCTAACAGGTCTCGATTTTCCGACTTTTGTGACTTGACCTGGAAGGTCAACCGATGACCGAGGACCTTAAAATTAGGCATCATCGGCTTCCTCTCGTTACGGGCAGCACGCTGTTTTTTTTTTTCCGCGAAGCTCTAGCTCGATCAGGGGCGAAACGGCAAAGGGGGTTCAACGGACCCCCTCTCCCTTATACATATGTTCGAGGCTAGGAATTCACCAATACGGGCGAGAGTTAATATTACTGCAAAATATTCACTTTGGTACTGTGAGCGCAGCGACATTTTTGGCCTTCGCAAGGAAGTTACGCATAACGGTCATCAGAATTGAAACGTTAGGTAATACATCTGGTCTTTCAGCGTCAATTAAAGAGCGGGTTGTTGTATTAATATATGTTACGGGTCATATGCTAACTTGGGCAGTATGCAAACTGCCCGGGCAGTATGCATACTACCCAACAGCCCGGGCAGTATGCATACCGCCCGGGTAGTATGCATACTACCCGACCCCTTGGGCAGTATGCATACCGCCCGGGCAGTATGCATACCTCCCGGGTAGTATGCATACCACCCACCTTTCTTCTCACGGGCAAGATGTTTACTCGGGCAGTATGTTGACTACTCTTCGTGAGGCTTGTTAATGCAATAACTCGTGTATATATGTATGTGAATGACAAACGTTTTAACCTTCCGGGTGGTGGGGGGGGGGCATTTTTTGTCCCCCCTTAGTTTTTTTTCGATATATCTCCAGAATTCCGCTGCGCCGATTGCCATCAAACTTTCAGTACCCTCCCGGGATCGAAGCTATTAAACGTTGTGACCAAAAAATTTCCAAAGGCTATGATAGGTTGGCCGCTAATGACGTCGGAGTGACGTCATTTCTGCCATTTTCGACCCAAAAAAGGTTTCGCGGGAAGAGCTGTCAGGCCTACAGCTTTATAGATACATAAAATGTTTAAGAATAG